AAATAAATCCAAAGCCCCAAGGAGAAAATCCCCCCTCCCTGAGCCCTGGAAAAAGAAAACCTCCAACTGCCCCTTCCCAGAGAAATCCGCCTGACAAAAGGTGCTATTTTTCTGCTAATCACCTGACACAAGGTCCGGACAAAGACCCGGCTGCCAAGAGAAAAAAGACCATGGTGCCAGCAAAAAAGCACGCTGCCGGCAGGAACCTCTGAACCCACCCGCTAACGCCTTCCAGGTCGGCTTGCAAAGTCCCCCCTCCCACCCTGGCCGGCTCCCATTGCCACGGGTACTGGGATAACAGTGACCACTCAGCTTGATGTATTACGGAATGAAACAAAATCTTGTGGACTGGCCTCAGGAGACCACTCATCGCGGCCTGGGACCGGCACAGATTTCTACATTTCTGATATTTCAGCAGGGAAGATTAATCCCACTGTAGGCAACTAAGTATAAATAAAGAGTAGTCAGTAAAGAATCCTGTGGAAATAGTGGGAGCAATGGAGTAAGGAAAATTTCTGGGTTATTACTCTCTTCATACTTTATTGCTACTCAACAGCAAGGAAGACAGGAGGAGAAACAGCTGCAGATGTGAATGGAATGAGAGAGTAAATGTTGTAGAGAGCCAGAAGGTCTCTCATCAGCCTCCTCTTCTCCAGGGTGAACAACCCCAGTTCCCTCAGCCACTCCTCAAAGGAATTGTTAGATAAAATTCACATGGGAATTCATAAAATTCACAAACAAACCAAAAAAAGTGATACCTTTATCAATTTTTGACATACACTGGTTGTTACTGTAGTACTTGCCATGACTGTAGAGTTTCATGGGATGAAAAATTGTCAGAAATTCCTCCTAATCTGGAAACAGCATCTTCTTTTCTGCCTTGTTACTGTTAACAAATCTGTTGCACAGACCAGAAGTGAAAGAGTACATGAACTCTCTCACATCAGGAACAGATGTGGGTGATAAAACATTAAATGTGAAATGGAGATTTACACTTTAAAACAATCGGGAAATGATGGTGCTTTTTATATGCAGGTAACAAGAGAGGTCAAAAGTTGGGATGATTTATTTGAATTGTTCTTTGGGGAGTGACAAAAGTGACAAGTAATTTATGCAATATGTACTATGTAAGACTAGCATTCTACAGTTTACTGGAGATAATGCTGAAAAGTAAGTTAAAAGCACCAAGGAACTAAAAGTACAAAAAACCATCTTAACTTTTCCAGAAACTGTTTAAAATTGTCACTTACTGTTTCAAGATTATGTCTTAATTTCTTCATTTTTTTTAAATCAAGGAGAAAAATACCCTCTAGTTTATACTTTCAATCCAGTAAATACTAATATTTTCAGTAAATTAAAATGTAGTTACCTCCAACACTACAGTAGCTGTTTATTAGCTTTCTATTTAAAAGTCTCTAATACAGGAAGCATGCATTCCCTAAAAACACTGAACCTTTACAATTTTTTTTTTCATGTAATTTAATTTCAGAACAAGTTTTATTCTAATGGGAAAATTGTAAGAATGGAATTAAGTTTACTCACTTCCCTCTGGAATATATATCTAAAAGGGACGGTGTGTATCATAGAGATTTATGTTATTCCAAATAATTGTATGACAAAACAATAACTGAAAATTGTATAGATTTTCATATTATATAGCCTTAAAAATTATATTGCAGAAAATATTCCTAGATTTTCAGTTATATGTTGAAAATTATCAACATACTTTTTATGCAACTATAGCTTTCATGGCAAAAAGATGTATCCTTTACTTTTTTCTCTTTAACAGATATCAGTCAATCTGTGCCACAAAAATAAAAAATAGTGAATAGGATCTTCAGATTTACTATAAATGGTAGAACATCACAGCAGTATGTTGTGTTAAGCGTCATATATGACTTTGGCATGCACTAGGAAGCAGTTTATTCACATGGCAACATCTTGTGGTACCAAGAGGAAGGATGTTCTGCCCTTTATTGATTGCCACATCCTCAAAGAAGTGCTTTAGTGAACTTGGTATTTCCACCTGCTGCTGTGGTTTATATCAAATATCGCATGCTATTATTTGTCTATGGTAGATGATCAAAAGCAACTAATTGTCCAACCTTAACTTTTTAAAAATAGAACTATTTAAAGTGCCTTTTCAAATCATCTTTTCTTCCATTTGAGAAAAAAGTTTTGTAAGTATTTGTTTGCTCTGAAAAAAAACTAAAAAAGAGCAATGAGAAATGCTGCAGGAGAATACTGTTCCCCATCGATACCTAGCTGACTTGTGTCTTTCAACAGAGAAGTAGCAATCTATTTTTAATTATCATTAGTATTAGTATTTCTTTTTTTTTTTTTAACACAGTTAAAAAAATTGTGTTTCCATTTGTGTTTCGGCACTGTACAGTGAAGGAAGGAAGCATGATTACGTTATGTTACTATTATGACTGTTAGCTTTGGCTAACAGTCAAAAGCCCACCCAGCCACTCACTCACTCTCCTTCATTACACCGCAGGAGAAAATAGGCTGAGAAAGCTCATGGGTTGAGATAACGACAGCAAACCAATTACTGTTAGAGGCAAAAGAGGCTTAACTTGGGGAAAATTAATGTAATTTATTGCTCATAAAAATAGATTCTGGGCAGTGAGAAACACAGATGAATTTTAAAACACCGTCTTTCTTCTTCCCTTTCCCAGACTCAAGTTATGTCTTTCATTCCCCATTCCTATGTTCTCCACTCTGAGTGGTGCATGAGGGAATAGGAGTTGCAGTCAGTACGTAACTGCTCCTATCTGCCGCTCCTTCCTCCTCACACATTGCCCTTTCTCCATCATGGGCTCTCCGTGGGCTGCAGTCCTTTGGGAAATATCCTACTGCTGGTCTCCTCCACAGGCTGCAGTGTGGATATCTGCTCCCGTGCCATGGAGCACCTCCTCCTCCAACTCTGGTGTTCCCTCTGCTGTTTCTCACTTGCTTTTTTCACTCACTCTG